AAGCACTGGAAATACGACCCTAATGGCAGGGACTTGAGTATGATTTCGGGTGCTTTAAACCATACTCAAATCCTGACTTGAGCATTGAGTAGAGTTCTAGAATACGACCCTAAGAGTGGTTACATACGGCGACTGTTAGCAGCGATGCAAACGCGATGTAAGCGCGCGACTGCATCGATACAAACGCGCGATTGCTCCGCTACACTTGGGGCTACGTTTGTATCAATGCAGTTGTGTGTTTGCATCGATGCTATCGCCTATAAATCGCAAGTGTAGCGATGCAATCGCGTGTTTCATGAAAGCGCTTTTGCATCACTGCAAAAAATCGTCGTGTTTAAGCACTCTAAGGGTTAAAAAGTTGTATGTCTTACAGGTTGACGCCCCGATTCGTACCGTGTATAAAGCCACATGCGGTCGTACGTCAACAGTGCTTTTATGAAATGAAAATTATAAGAATAATACGAACTACATGAAACAAATTATTTATATGTGAAATTTTATAACTTTCCTATTTAAGCATAAAAAGTTATCGACCGCTTTCGTTCGTAGATTTTTTAAATTATAAATATAATTTAATTTTATTTATATTCAGGTTACGAAGACCCATAAATACATACCTTATAGACTAACATACATAACAACGTAATAAAACACTAATTATTAATTATTTACAAGTCCTATTGTCTGCGACGTGTGACGCAACGAGGGTGTCCGGTAGCCGACCTCGGAAACGTCGGTATATGACACACTTCGGCCAAAGCTCATCCTTCATGAAGGTCAACAGATGTTGAGTTGCTACTCTCACCACAAATGAATTATAATTCACATTGTGGCGGGACCCCAACTGCTCGACTCTCAGGGTAGCTTTGGCTTTCACAATATTCGCAGACTTTGTGGAGTAATGAAGCCGTGACACATATAACAACGTTGTCGGTATCGCTAGATACAATAAATGGTTAGGGCCAGTCGGGGCGGTGCCACTAATGTTACTTCTTTTTCCGTTCTACCTTTTTGAAACCGCCCTCGTCGCACTGGTCAACTCTTTTCGGTGGTAATGACGCAGCTTCAGAAATTAGGACCCGTTTCTTTTTCTTCCACTTTGTTTATTGAACTGTTGTTGTTGAACTGCCTTGGTTGTGGTTGTGGAGCACTGACTCTCTTAGCACCGGCAACAGCAGCATAATTACGTTGAGGGGTCAACGTGCTTACGCGTAACGTCTCAGCCGCCGCGCGCCGGTGCGAAAAAACGAAGTGTAAATATTTCTCCTGAAAAGTTATCATTTTGCTGATGTGGCCTTTAACACGGCCAAAGATGCTAATTCGTTGTTGTCTTTAAAATAATACTGAAATTACAGAACTTGAAGTCCCTTTTTCAATTCTCATATTTTGACATGAGGTGGTGCTAATTTGATTCTGAAGCATTAAAGCGATGACAACTTTGAAAATTATTGTGCTTATCACGTCAGCCAAATTGTTAATCTATGTTGTAATAGGATTTAATTTTAAAGCTATTGTTTACGGGAATTGGCAATTTCCGCATAACGAATGACGTACTTACAAAACCATTTCCTCAACCTTGCTTGTAGCTTGGTTAAAAATACCTAGAATAAACGGACATTCATGCAGACTGGTGAGAGCGGTGGAGGCGAAGAATGTTTGTCAGGAGTGTAGCAGGTGGAGGTCCTTAGTTTGTGCCTAATCCGGTGGGAGACGGGCGTGATGTTCGTATAATTTGTCTCGTTAAAATGAAATAATAATAATATTATTTATCTCAATACGTCTAAGGCTCAATTAATATAAGTATATCATGATATGATTTTATTGTTTTGTTTTCCATATGTTTTTATAAAATTCTAGTTTAGTTCTACTAATTAAGTTAGACAAAGTTGTGTGTACCAGTAATAGGCATATATATAAGACTAATTCTATTAATTATGTAACCTTTTTGTATAATATTATATTTATGCTGTTGGTATACCTCAATAAATAAAATAAAATAAAAATGATGATGCTGTGGCCAAGCGTGCGTGTATTTTCAGGATTGAAAGTAAAGATTGAAAACGAAGTAACAGAAAAAGTTAAATGACAGTAATTTGAAGACTGAAACTTACAATCATTGACTGAAACCATTTAGGTCAATGACTGAAGCGAATTTAGTAGCAGTAACTTGAAATTAGTAGCAATAGAGCTCCTTGTGAAAGAGTTGGAGAAGTACTCCACCTTACGTAAGCATTACTGCGTTCCGGTTTTGAAGAGTAAGGGTGCTGGTGAAATTACAGGCACATGGGACTTTTTTTTTTTTTATTTTTTTTATTTATACATGACAGGCAAATGACTCCACTCCACCTGATGTTAAGTGGAAAGTGGTATCCAAACGCGAAGGAACCTAGTGCAGTGATGAAATCCTCACTGCACTAGCCACCTCCACCCTGCCTGCCTACAA